GGGGGGGCCGTTGGGGGCTCGGAGCCTGATCACCGTAATCAGGAAGGGTGGGCGTGACCCGGGACTAGGTTTGATTCTTTGTCTGCCTGTCCGCATTTAGGCTTTTCATTTTCACATTCCTCCCCATGGTCTGTCATAAACGCAGGAATACAGCTCAAGGGCAGGAATGAGGTTTAACTTCAGCTGAGGTACAATAGAGGCTATTTGGAAAGTAAAACTTTCAAATGGCAGTTTAGCCTTGAAGAATATATTGAATTAGATACGCTATGTGCCTTGATTCATGATCTCTGCGTAACGGCACTGCTCTGTGTATTACCTGGGTGTTTTAGTAGACTAGAGAAAGGGGCCGTTTACAGGATTAGCATCCCGGAGTCAGTGCATGTGCTGATGAGGAACGCTGGGGCCAGAGACAGGTGGCCTGGCTGCCGGTGGGACTCTACCACTTCTTGTAGGGCCTTGACCCCCTGGAGGGTCTATTTCCTCATCCATAAAATGGAGATCATAGTAGAACTTGCCTCATGGGGCTATTCAGAGCATTGAGTGAGATAAATGCCAAGTACAGAGCTTTCTTACCATAGTAAATAAAAGCTTAACGAATGAGAACTCTTCCTATTGCCATGGTGTGATTATTACGGAAGCCCAAATTCTGTCATTTGACCCTTGCTCCTTCCTGCCCTCAAGCCTTTGCTCTGCACTCAGGCAGTTGCCTGTTACCCAATTCTGCTTCATGTCAGACGCAGAGTCTCTGTGGTCACCTTTGACGGCGTGCTGTCATCCCAAAGCTCCGGCTAAATACAACCAAGATTGACAACTTTGAATAATTCCACCGAGCCCCTGAAGCACTCTGGCATCTCACTCCAGCTCTCATAGATGCCGCCAAGTTCTTCTCTCTTGTTTTGCGCCTCTCCAGTCTCTGCAGATTTCAGATACAGTCACTGCGGTGAACATCATCTTCCTCTGAAAAATAATCCAACAGGAACCCACATGGAATAATTGGGTTTCATGAGAGCTTTGCTGTCAAGCCTAGAAATACATGGGAAGATAATCACATTTTATTTTTTCTTTCTTTTCCATTTTCAGCACGTTCACATCCACGTTCTTCCAAGGAAGGCTGGAGACTTTCAGAGGAATGACAGCATCTATGATGAGGTGGGTCTGCTCTTTCGGATTTTTGTTTGATCACAAGGGCTGTCAGTGTGATAAAAAATCAACTTGATGAATAAGGTGTCACCCAGGATTTATGGTATTAAATAGGATTCTACCGAATATGACTTGGGTAGCGGTGGTAGAAGCCAAGGGGCCAAGGATGGCCATATGGGAACCAAAGACAAATGAGTTATAGAATGCTTTTCTTCTTCAAATGAAACTCTGCAGAAACCAAGTATTCTTGCGATTTCTGCCCTGTTATTTACCAAGATGCTAACTATTGGGTAGAGATGTCCCAGAGTCTCCATAGGAGAATATATGTGGTGTCACCCATGGAAATGAAGCAGATTGATAGATTATTGTTTAGTGAAATACTGCATTTAATTTTTTAAAAACTTTGGAACTCAGTTTGTCTGGTCTACCAGCATTTACTCAAAGTGGAGCTCTGAATTATAGTCAAGCAGAAACTAGGTTTGGTTTGAATGATATGAGCATAACCCATGTATTGTATACATTTTGGTTAACTGGTTTCTGGGTACTTCCATTCAAAGATACAAACGTGAAACCAGTACAAAGGTGAATTGGCAAGAGCCGTGTGATCTCCTAGGGTCTGGTCTGCATGAGAACCTTCATGTACCTGTTTGCACTTATTTGTAGCATATAACCTATAATGTATATGCTGGGATAAAAAAATAAGTGGGATTATTTTTAAATTCTGGGATAATATCACTTCTGTTTAACTACTTGTTCTAGCCAGGGAAGGGCAAATAATTTTGTAAGAGCTGATCAGATGGTGGTGGTGCCCTGGAGGGCTTGGTTGGTAAAGGCTGAGAGGCTGTTTCTGGATACAAGGAGAAGCATTATGATTGATTAGCAATGTCTACCCCTGGTGTCGAATAGGAGAGAGTTGTCATTTTAGCCATTTATATGACTTCCTGTTCTAACCCTTTGAGAATGATATGTGAAGTAAATTTTTAATTTTGGTTGTTGACCGTATGGCTATGACTATCCCGACTCAGTTTGCAGGGATCAGATATAACTTTTTTTGTATTATAGGACTTTGCTTTTTTGTATTTATGCATCTTTTTTGTATTTTTAGGCTTTCTTTGTAGTGACTGGGTATAAGACTACTCACACCCTGAAAATTAAGAATGAAAGGTCAGCAGTTAATAATGAGACTTGCAATGAATTTTTCTGGTGCTCATTGGATCCTGTGAGGTGACTGGCGATCACACCTCTGGGGTATCCCTCGCTATTTGGTACTTCCTGTGTTTTCCAAGAGTTGCGGTAGACCCTGTGTAGGATGAAAATGCTCTAGTCATTGGTCCTTAAGTGCTGGTCTGTGGACTAACTGCTGCAAATCTCAATTTGCAGGAGATTCCATCCCTGGTAATTCTGGTCCAGTGGATTGTAGAGGCACTTAGGAGTCAGTAATTATGCGAGTATAAGAATCTTCAGAAGATTCTGATGCTAGGTTTGAGAATAGGCTTTCTCCCAAATTTATGCTTTCTCAAATCTAGAACTATAATACTGTAATCTGAATCCATTGTCATTGGATGTGGGATGTGGTTTGGGGTTAGTAAGGGCTTAGTTCGAGCTGGAAGAAAATCAGAATTATGGAGTTATTATGAAGAGATGCATTTTAAAAATATATAAGTACTGATCTTATTAGCATAAACTAAGGTTAATAAAATGTTGCCAAGTACAAACTATTTTAATGAATAAATTAGCACATGATTTATATACAAGTGAATACTGTTAAAGTGGTATTAAATGTACTTGAAAACATTGTTTTCATAGGCTGAACTGTCGCCCTGAAATCTTATTTATATTCCAAATGCATGATGACAACAGCTCAGGGCTCCATTTCAGCCCAGTTTGAGCCACAATGTCCAACACTGAGCTTGGTTCGTGGCCCTTCTCTCCTCCCTTACTCTGTCGTCCTTACGGGCTTACCGACACAAAATCTGTAGTCCCACAAACAAAGCAACACACGTCCCTACTCTCCTACCCATTTGGAGAAGCATCTCAGGAAGTTGTTACTGTAAGAGAGTTTTTTTTCCTTTTTTTCAATCAGCTGTAAGTCACATATGGTATAGATGGTACCACTAATGGAGATTGTGGTTTAAGACTCTGAGGAGACTGGGCTTTGGATACAGGCAGAATTAGGTTCCAATCCCAGCAATACCTACTAATTGTGTGACATTGGGAAAATCACTTAACCGTGGTCTTTTAATTCTCTCATCTTTGAACTGGAGATAATAAATACATGTACCTGAAAAGATTGTTGTGTGTGACATACAGCGTACAGACCCCAAAAAGCTTACTGCAGGAATTGGTACATAGTAAGCATTATTCATAGGTAGCTGTTTCTGTTCTTATTATCACTATTAATTCTGTTTTCCTTAAAAACTTAGCAATGACAGGTAAGTGGAGATTCGGATGCTCCCATTCAGTACTTTTTTCAGGGGTCTGATGTCCAATTTTCCCTCTGCTTTGAGCCACTCATTCCCAGATTCACCTTCCTCTTTGTACAGAAATCCTTCTCCGGTTTAGGTGTGTAATAAGATAATGTCTAGGAAACAGCACCAGAAGCACGAAGCATTGCACAGGCATTATTGGTACAAGATGTAATATACATGAGACTGAGTGATCTTAATCAGAAATGATGGCCTGATAGGGACTGTATGTTGATAGAGGCACTCAGTGGTGATTATGCATGTGTCCATGTAGTACAACAAACAGGCTGCCTTGGTGATGTGGGGGAGCAGGGACATCAGGAGACCGAGCTCGATAAAATATAATTGTATTCCTACTGCTGCAGAAATAGAAAGCAACGCCTTAAGAAGCCCCGGATTATAAATTGGCTGGGAATGTTGTCTGCCCCCTGGGTGCTGGAGAAGGCCTCACAGAAAGGGGGTTGGGAAGCAGAGTCTGGGAACAAGGATGTGGGGAGAGGCTGGAGATGGAGCTGTTCTGCCTGGAGAAGTGAAGACTTTCAGAGGGAAGGTGGGGAGAGGGTCACTGTTTCTAACTGACTGAGGACTGGTCAGGGGAAAGGGTACCACGTTCTGTGTGGCTCTAAGTGAAGATCTGGCATTTGAGGCTGCAAGGAGGCAGGTACCAGCACCGACAGAAATCCTGACACTCACGGTGCTGGGAGGGGGAGCGAGGCGAGGGCAGTGAGCTTCCCATTCCTGCAGCCACGTAAGCAGAGAGCCGACGGTCGTGATGGTTCAGGAGAACTTCGAAACCCAGTCTCGGGAGGACTGCATGGCTTGACGATTCCTGTCTTTACAAATCTGGCTCATTTAATCATTACTTCCGTTTCTGGCTCTGCAAGCTCAGAAACTAATAGTGTGGGTTTGTTTGTTTTTTTGCTGTTGTTAGTAGTACAGCATTTGGATCACTGCCTAATGAAACAAATACTTTTTGTTTTGTTCTTGGAAATGAACGCATACCTCTTCTTGGACTTCTGTGAGAACACACTCCATTGATTTTTTTTTTCCCATTCCCAGGCTACTTCCTCCTTGTCCTGCAGCTCGCTGTTGCATATTGATGGTCCTGGGCTTTGTGTGCCGCCTCATACGTGTTTTATTTTGCTAGCAAAGTGTTTTTTAATGGTGTGCTTGATTTTGCCTGCAAAGGATTTTTTAATGAGTCTGAATACTATTAGGCACATCACTCATTCTCCAAGTCACTACATTTCCCACCACTCCCTATCTTACCAAGGCTCACCTCACTCATTTACGGTTCCTGCTTGACTGCCGAAGGCATTTGAGTTTGAGACCGCTGCCTATTTCTTCTCTCTACACCTCAAATGTCACTGGTCCCCAAAACCATCTAGTCCCCTGTACATGCCACTTATCTGTAATATCCATTTTACCTCCTTATTCATTTAAAATCTGTGGCTCTGGGTGGGTTCTTTTAACTCCATTAGTGTGTCTGGCACCCTTCCCCAGCTCCTCTTAGTCTCATTCTCTCTCACTGTTTGCTTTAATCAAATATATTAGTTTTGTTCCCACTCAGGGCTTTTACACATGTCATTCTCTTTACCTATAAGTTCTTCCATCTTCTCTTTTCCATCCTATGGCTTCATATCTTCATCCAAACCTCAGTTCAGGTATCAAGTCCTCCCAGAGTCCTTAGCATTCAACCCCCCACCCTGTCTAAGATAGCTGATCCCTTATCCCCTTCACAGTAACTCTCATATTACCATGTGTATTTCCTAGTTAATATTTACCACACTTGACACAACTTATTATTCATTGCCTGCACCCCCAGTTGTATTTTAAGCCCTGATAATAGGATCTAATCTGGCATAGAGAGGGTCTTCAGTAAATACTTGTTAAATGAATAAATTCATAAAAGAATAAGGTGTGGGGCTAGCAGAACTTCAAGTTCCCTACTAGTTTGCGCGTCATGTAAAAGGAGACAACACCGTACATTACAGAGAATCCATTTATTTCCTCATAGCTCCATTGGTGAGATTCTGGTGTGATATCAGCCATTTGAGGTTGATTCAATGGAGCATTTATGGAATGGAATCTATTGGTAAGAAAACAGTGTGCAGATGGCAGCAAATTGTGGCACACCGGAAAGATTTGGCAAAGTGATTATAAACCTTGTCTGATTGCTAAGCAAGTCTCGTGGGCACGTGTCAAAGCTGATAAGGAACTTGCCTACCCTGAAAGCTAGACTTGGGTGTCCGTAACAACACAGATGAGGGATTGACCGAAAGCAGGCTTAGGCCCTTCTCTTCCTTTCATTCTGACCTTGATTATCTTCTCTGAGTTTATCTTCACCTGCTCTTCCTGCAGCTCCCTGTCCCGGATTTGTCTTTATGTCTTTTGTTCACTAATTTATCTTCCCCATTTCAGAGGATGAGTCTCTCTTCTCTCGCACAAGGCTGAGTTCAAGCTCTACCCTTTGTAAGAGAGAATCTTGTATAAAGCCCTTTCCTTACGGTTCTCCATACAGAGCTTATTATCTGTTGCTCCCCA